AGAGGGAGATGACCACGAAGGCCAAAAGAATGAAGTTGAGATAGGATATGATAACGCCAAGTGGTGTCGTAAGCCTTTTCTAGGTCAAAAAGGACGGCAACAACGGAGGTCTTCGCAGCAAAAGCAGTACGAATATAGACCTCCAAGTTCACCAGGACATCTGTCGTGCTGCGGCACTTGCGGAAACCAAATTGAGAAGGGAGAGGAGGTGATGGTGTTCCAGGAACCACATCAGACGAACGTTAACCATACGTTCAAAGAGTTTGCAGACACAACTTGTGAGAGCAATAGGGCGAAAGTCCTTAGGGGAAGTACCCAGAGACCCCGGTTTGCGAACAGGGAGGACAACGGCATCGAGCCAGTCCTCAGGGACTGACGACGACTCCCAGATCCGATTATACAGACTCAGTAAATACTGAGACGTGCTCGGAGGGAGATGGCGAAGCATCTCATAATGAATACCATCGGAGCCCGCCGCCGTAGAACCGCAGAGGGCCAGGGCAGAACGAAGTTCAGAGAGAGAGAAGGGATCATTATAGGGAAGCTGAAGATGAGTGCAGAAATCTAAAGGACGAGACTCAAGGACAGGTTTACGAAGAAGGAAAGATTGGGGAAGATGAAGACCAGAGCTAACAGAAGAAAAGTGGGAACCCAGTTCGGAAGCGACCTGCAACGGGTCCGCCACAAGAGTATCATGGAGGTGAAGGACCGGTGAAACATCGGGAACGAACTTACCCGCTATCTTGCGGATACGCTTCCAGATCTGGGCCAGAGGGGTTTCGGACGTAATTGTCGAGACATAAGATGCCCAACATTCACGTTTAGCCGTACGGATGGCCCTACGGGCCACCGCACTCGCTTTCCGAAAGAAAAGAAAAGAATCGGTCGTCTGCCTACGGCGGTGCTTCTTCCAGGCTGCACGCTTACAGCGGACAGCCCGAGCACAGTCCGCATTCCACCAGGGAACGCACTTCCGTGGACCCCGAGAGGAAGAGCGAGGAATAGAGCGGAGGGCAGCGTCGAAGACAGTGTCATGAAAAAGGAGGAGAGCGCGAGAGAGGGGCAGAAGGGAGAGGTCAGAGAGAGTAGCACTGAGGGAAAATAGGGTCCAGTCCGCCTTAGCAAACTGCCACCTAGGGAAAGAGAGGGAAGGGCGAAAAGAGAAAAAGGAAACAAGGATGGGGAAATGATCACTTCCATGGAGGTCATCAAGAACCTGCCATGTGAAATCTAAGTAAAGAGAAGAAGAGCAGAGAGAAAGATCAAGACAAGAAAGGGTGCGAGTTCGAGAGTCCAAATGAGTGGGCTCACCAGAATTCAGAAGAGACAGGGAAGAAGAGAGGAGAAACGGCTCAAGGAGGCGACCCCGGGTATTCGTCAGAACGTCACCCCAAAGAGAATGACGACAATTGAAGTCACCCAGCAGGAGCACAGGCTCCGGCAAGGAGTCTAGGAGGTGTTTCAAATCAGGAAGAGAGAGCGGGACACTCGGGGGGAGATAAATGGAACAAACTGTGTACCATTTCCCCACAAAGATACGAGCAGCAGAACAATGGAGAGGCGAAGGAAAAAGTAAAGGAACAAAGGGAACATCAGCCCGAATCAAGAGAGCAGAAGAATTAGAAGCCCCAGCAATGGCTGGGGGGGGGGGAGAGAAAGGAATAGCCACGAAAACGACCAGGACGAGCACCAAGCATTGGCTCCTGGAGACAGACACAAAGGGGCGAAAACCGCGAAATCAGAAGTTGGAGTTCGAGGAAATTGGCGTAATAACCCCGAACGTTCCATTGAAGAATGGACAACGACGAGAAGAGAAAGGACAAAAACAGAGAACAAGGAAGAAACAAAGGCAAAAGAGCAACAGAGCACGTTAAAGAATATCAGGGTCGGGATCAGGGTCAGCAAAGTCAGGGGGCATGGGTAAACTGAGCAAAGACGGAGGGAAGGAAACGGGAGAACAGATCAGAGGTGGGCGGGCAGGGTCCGGAGGAGGAGGAGGAGGAAGAGGAGGAGACAACGGAGAGGAGCAGTCAAGGACAGCAGCAGGAAGAGGGGGGAGTAGAAAGAGGGGAGCTCACCCCAGCAAGAGCAGCAACCGAAAGGGAAGCAGGGTCCAAAGAAACCTCCATAGCAGGAACAGGGGGCGCAAGCACTGAAACGGGAGGGGAAGGAGCAACAGAGCCAGAAGAAGGAGCTGAGGAAGAAAGCGAAGCCTTCTTACCCGCCGGGGAAGAGGAAGGAGAGGAGCCAGGCTTACGCTTCTGACTTAAAGAGACCGGTGTCCCAGCAACTACGTACCGGGCAACGGATTCCAGTGTCTCAACAGGAGAAGCCGAACGAGAGCACACACGACGGCCGTTAGGAGAGCGATGGACATCCGCCCGCACCGACAGGCGGCGGGGAGAGCCGATAGATGGAGGAAGAGGATGGGAAGGAGGATCGGAGGGGGACGAGGAAGAAGACACAGAAGACACGACAGACCGGGTAGAAGGAAGGGGAACCCCAGACAGAGGACCAGGAGGAGGATCCTTCGGGAGAGAACCCAAAGGAACAGAGGAGGGGGCAGTGGGCGCATCAGGGTCCAAGGCCCGGAAACGGTTGTGAGTCTGAGGAAGGCGGGAAGGACGAGGAGAGGAAGAGCGCAACACGCGAGCATAAGAGATATTAGCATAAGGCGGGAGCCGGCGAACCTGGCGCCTCGCCTCAGGAAAAGATAAACGCTCCCGGTGCTTCAGGTTGAGGACGGCTGCCTCAAGCTTGTAATGGACACACGCACGGGAGAAGGTAGGATGGGCCTCACCGCAGTTGAGGCAACGAGCCTGGGGAGAAGCGCACTCCGACTTAGAGTGACCTTCGCCACCACACAAAGGACAGAGAGAGACAGTCCCGGAGCAGCGGAGGGCACCATGCCCAAACCTCCAGCACTTGTTGCAGAGCCGAGGAGAAGGAATGTACTCCTGGACAGAGCACCTGGCACCAGCAAGAATGACAGAGGGTGGAAGGGTCCTACCATCAAAGGTAATCTGCACAACCCGGAGGGGTTGACGGCGACTACCACGAGGGGGACGAGTAAACGTGTCCACCTGGAGAATAGAATGGCCCTGGACAGCGAGGATATGTCGAATATCGTCGTGGCAGTCGCGCAGGTCCCGAACACCGGTCGCAACATGGGGCGGGAGCAAAATAGTGCCAACACTGGCATTCAACTGAGCGTTTTTCGAGACCCGAACAGGGGTCTCGCCAAGGCAGCCAAGCGGGAAGCAGCATCCTGAGAAGGAGCAGCAACGACACGTGTACCGAGACGAGTGGGGTTGAAAGTAATGGAGGCATCCACGGAATCAATGAGATGTCGATGAAGGGAGAAATCGTCAGGAGGCGCAGAATCAAGAGGGAGGAGATCAAAATATTTGGCCCACGAAGCGGGACCAAACAAGGCTTGATAGGTAGCAGAACTGGAAGGAATCGAGCGAGGGCGGCCGTGACGAGGACGGCGGTGAGAACCCCCAGAGAGAGAGGGGTTAAAAGGCGCAGTAGTTACAACTAGAGAAGGAGCCGCGCCAGGGGACGAGGTAGTCACCACTGGGGGCTTGGGGCTCGACCCAACCACAGAGGAGGGAGGGGAGCCAGGGGAAGGAGTCAGAGAGGCCAAAGGAGGAGCAAGGTCGGGGCCCAATGCAGCGGAGGCTACAGAGCCCGGTCTTCCAATACGGACCGACTCGGGGGCTTGGTCGCCCACCCCACGAGCCTGAGAAGGTAAGCCAGAAGCAGCCGAAACAGGGGTAATCATCTTGACGAAAAGAAAAATTCACTCACGAATGTGCCCCCACATCCACCATGGAGCCACAATTAGAGGCAGGACACCCAACAAGAAGCTATCGCCGATCTTGTCGGGGCCCCCTAGGGGTGCGTCGTGAGTATACGCCCCACAAACGCCACCTTAAGAAACCGACAGTCCGTCGAGATCGGGTTCAGTGACGAAGTGGGGATTGACAATAAAAGGTTCCCCTCGCTCTCGACGTCGGGTACTGCAGTTCTACGGGTGCATGAGTATGCCTCCTCAAGCACCCGGGCGTCAAAATAGAAGAAACCATGGAAGAACCAGAACGAGCAAAAGGTCGGCAGGAAACGGCAAGCAGATAGGAGAAGAGGGGGGAGAAAAACGAAACAGAAGGAAAAGGAAAAGGTGCCCAGCAGAATTGGAGAGGACGGCAGCAGGAGCACAAGGCTAGAAAAGGACAGAGGACTGTCCGAAGGAGCATCACACTCCGGCAGCCGCCCACGAAGCCCCCACACGGCGACAACGAGCTGAGCGGGGAGGGGGCCACGGGGGCAAAGAAGGAACAACACGAGGAGAAACATCAGAAATACGAACGGAGAGAGAATCCTGTAAGCGAGATAACCGGACAGAAAGAGGGAGGTGGTGAAGAGGAACAGGAACCGCAGGAGGGGTAAAAGTTAAAGCACGACAGAGGCGAGAGGAAGGATGTTGCAAGGACCGCGCAAGATAGCGAAGACAGTAGCAATACATTGCTAGTTAAAACACACATGTACAGTACAGTGCTCCTTGTGACTCGTCATGCTCGAAATGCAGTACTGTACAATCCAGCCTTGTCCCTTACCATATCCTGTGTGCTGCTCACAATCCTTGCCTCATCAGTGTCTGCCCATCATCCAGGCTTACCTCTCCTCCACCTACCATTAAATTCACTAGTACTTCCTCGACAGTATCATTTGATGTGATACAATACACTAGTCTCAATACACTAGTCAATTTTACAATTTATTGGCCCCGCAGTCAAGTCTTCAAAGATACTTACAATCTTTACTCTAAAAATACTACAAATTTATAGCATTATAGCTCATATTTCTTGATTTACCGGCATGCTTTGTTATGCCTCATCTAGCCAACTGCATGTCTTAAATTAAAAAATTAACATGTCTTAGTTCAAGTAAGCAAGTCATTCCGCTGATAATCATATGTGGTTAAATAAAAGACAACATACAGTAGAAGACATTTATATTAATTTCAAAATCACCCATGGTGTCCCTTCCTTCTAACCTTAAAACAACTGGATTTAAATAACAACAATTTCAAAAAATAAACTTCTGAATCATATAAAAGTGGTGTAGAAGTCACTGGACATGGACAAAAACTGTAGACAATGATAATGTCAATGGATGTAATACTCTAGTCATAACTTTCATATGTACATCTTCAAACGTAGAAGAATATTGGTACCCATTAATCTGCATATAATCTCTGCGCAATATACTAATTACAACTTCCTACGTCACAGTTAAAGACTAAAATTGTCTTATAAGATGCTGAAACTGCATCTATGTTTGTTTATTTTGGCATGTATAAATTTATATAAATTGCAGCCTTCATACATGCAACAAAAAAAATACAAAATATTAAAAAAAAATTAAAAAATTTAATAACATTGAACCCCCCTAGATTGAGAGCCCAGTCATTCATAAATATGTAGGATTCAGAAACAACCTTTGTTTGCAAGATGCAACAGATGCCAAAAGTTCCGTTACATTAGTTACGTCACCTTCAGCCAAATATTTCGCTACCAGAGTTTAGGGGCTGAGGTTGAGGAGACACCAAGTAAACTTAGAAAGCTAGTGGACTATTACACACACCTTCAGGAAACAAAAAGACCACAAAGTAAAAAAAAAAAATTAACATATGAACATAAGGGCTTTATGAACATACACCGACCAACCTGTTGATAACATTCAACATATAAAAAATTAACGGCTCTGGTAGTCGCATTCAACTGAAGACAGTGTATACAATGTTTCCATTTTAAAAACTTTCTAGGTATACTATAAATACACAAGTGACTGTGGCAAGAGAGCATTGATGACAACCTTCACCAATAGGTAATATTGGTACTTTTTTTGTGAGGTAAAGTTTCAAACTACTTTGGAGAATTAAATGGTGAAAATTACTTGAAGTGCATTGTTTATATCACCCAAATAATTTGTGTATATACCACAGTATATAATTCAATTGAGTATCACCAATATTTCGCATCAGACGTATCTCCCCATACAGAATGTTATCCTCAACTCTCAGTCACCACTCTTGATGAAGCATGTCTGCATTGCAGTTGTGCAGACTGCAGCCCTCTTTACCGCTCCATGCCAAACTCGTGGGCATCATCGTCGGTAACGTCGCCGTACTGCCAGATGCTTAGGTGTTTCCTCTTCGCTTCTTCCTGGGCACTGCGGTAATCGGTCACCTTAAAGAACAATTTAACTCCAGTTATTAACACGCTTTGGGAAATGAAGTGAAATTTTGAGTTATGAATGATGTGTGCACATTTGTTACCCTGCAGCTGTATCCACGCACTGCATCTTTACCTAAATTGTCATAGATGATGCAATCAAAATTTAAAAAATAACCAAACTCATAGGTCATGTACATTCCTAGATATAAACTGAGAAAATTGTCTACATTTAATACAAAAAAAATCCCACCTTGAGAATCACCACTGCTAATACTTTTATTTGTCACATGTATATTGATTATAAAATATTAATCCTCACATTTTTCTTTCATATAAGTATTATTTTCAAAATTCTCGACAATTTTTATACTGTGTTATTGCTACCTACCTAATACTATGCATATTGCTACCAGCAACTCCTGTTTGAAGTCACAAGGTGGGAACTACCAATATAAGCAATGATAAAAAAAAACTGAATACATTTACAACTCACCAAAGATTGCAATCTTTTGTCTTTGCGTTCATCGAGAAGCAGCAAACCTTGTGCAAGAAGAGTGCGGGCTACATCAGCTTTGGTGTCTGCTCGCTGAATAGTCACATACTCCAAACCTCCAATACGGTATTCTCTGTTGACCAACACCTCTCGCTCCATTACTTCATTCATTAGTGATGTCAATGCATCCTCAACATAGTCTTCCTGCAAGAGTGGAAACTTTGGCATCTTTTCATTCCATAAACCAAATGAATATTCAATCATTGTGCATTGTGATACATTGTGCTTGCCTACTTCCGCTTCACCTTTGTATCTATAATAACAGTACAACACTTTTCTCATGAAAATCAACATACGAAGATAATTTTAACCATCAGTCACCCAACCAATGAAACTTACATCTTTACTGAACTTGACAAGGGCAAAATGTAGTTCATGCGCATAAGGTGGTGCAGACGAGAAGCTACCAGGAAGTGATGCGCATTTAATGGCTTGAGTCACTGCTCTATTACCATAGTCAATATACCGTACAGACACGTTGCTTCCGGCTACCTTTTCAACCTTAGCACGATACCAGAGCCCATCAGTGTACTGAGCAGCACACAAGTCACCTGTTGATGTAAAAACAGAAATAGGTAAATGTCTCGTGTACCTACTCTTATCATTTTATTTCTTAGCGGCCTGGTCGAGGACCGGGCCGCAGGGACACTAAAAACCCCGAAATCATCTCATCTCAAGAAGATAGCCCCCTGCTTTTAAAACACTTCTGTAAACACCAACTCCCCCCCCCCCACACACAACCCTCACAATAACAACACACTTACCTCGCTTGGGAATATATGCTCCCCCGAGAGGTGGCTTCGTGGCAAATTCTGTTCGAAGGTTGTCCATCATCTGTTCAAGGGCAGGTCCCTCAGAACAGTACTGACCATACAATACACCTTCTCTAGTCACTTCACTAATCATCATGGGTTTGTGGTCTACTTTGCGCTCGCTTACTGCGTCCTCAACCTATAAGAAAAAATATCCTTTGAAACTGAATGATATCATAAAAGTGATAAAGGAAGGCATAATTGGTATTCTAATATTAGCCTCTTGTAATTTATAATCTGTAGTTCCTCTAACACAATACACTTTTATTCCTATGCCTAATGCAAAATGGCCTTATACCTATGGTCCTACCAAAAGATAGGACTTTTATAAATGTAAACAACAATTTTGGATTTTAAAGTAGAAAGTAGAAAGAAGCAGAAAATAAAATTATTATTCTCCATCCCAATCACAGTATCATATCAAATACATTTAAATAATTTATAAAAATCATACCTTTTCCTCTTTTTCTTCTTCAACAAAATTGGACCAAATACCAATTTTCTTTTGTTTGGCAGAGTCTTGAGCAGCAGTGAGTAGATGATAAAACTTGGACGACTCTGCAGTGAAGTGAACCGAGCTCAGACCCTCTTCAACCAAAAGAACGGAAAGATTTTTGTTTTCCACATGAAGCCACCCGATGAAATTTCCGCCTTTGTCCATGGAATCAACCTAAATATAACAAAAGAATTTATGTTTAAAAACCAATTATTAGAACACTATCACTTTTTCATACATGCACACGTATACATTTCATACATATGTTAGTTAGTGTATGTAGTCTCCGCCAACTTTTGGGATCTTACTCTCTGGTACTCGATCAAATTTTTGATCACCTATACATCCATATTTTCCCTGCAAGATCTGCATCCATATGATAAAAACTGAATGCATTTTTGTTATGCATGACCACCCACTTCAACCGAATTGCCTGAACATTTCTTCTGATATTACACTAATCAGTTTTTTCCTAGTGATTTGCCTATCTTACCAGAGCTCATGGCTGGGTTGCATCTAATGAGTGACAGTTAGCATCAAGCATTTTTATGAATGCAGTGTTGTTGCCTTATTACAGTATATTTAATTATTTCATTATATTTCCTTGAATATTACCAATACTGGTATTTTTTAAATTTTACTTCAGTAGTAAAGTATTATTTTCAATACAGCACAAACACCAAAACTTTAAAAATATGAAGGCAATTATTTCAATTTCCTGTAGTAATTGCAAGTGTGATAACGGCCACTTTTGACAAATGAGCCTTCAAGATACTTGCCTCGATCTCAACCTCGCGCTGCAATACAAGATTTTTGGTGAGCGCAAGTGCTTCCTCTCCATGAGGTTCACCCGGCACTGTGCCTCCAACACCTCCAGGAGCAGGTCGCGTGGCTCTGGGACAGCTGATGCCTGCCAGCAGGAATGTAATGAGGCACGTTTCTCTCGGTATAAACAGACGAACACGGGAACCTGAAGCCACAAACTCCACAACTGCTTCGGTGCGACCAGCACGTTGCAAGAATGGCAAAAAACCTTTGGCTTTTCCGACATCCTGAAATAAAAATAAAAGGCATTTTAATTTTTATATAGAAAATTAGAAATATTGTGATAAAAAGTCCCCCATGTGAGCATATCAGGATCTGAACTGAGCAATGTATTAAGTCACATTAATAACAACAATGGTGGGTTGCGTACGACTCCCACAGTCTTGGCATCATGTCAGTCAACATTTATCTAACTATATAATTATGAAAGAGCTATCTAAAGTTGTAGCCCTTTATAAATTTTAACTATTACTACATCATTTTTTTAATACAGAAGAAAATAGGGAAAGAAGCTAAATACTAAATAGCATCACACTAAACACTTGTACTTCACTTGACATTTGCACCACATTGCAAGACTCTGCACAAGTAATGGGTTACAAGTGTTGCAAACCCGAAGTAGTGAGGTTGACCACTAAAGCATTACTATGTTCATGAAATACCCATAATAAACAAACTTACACTAGAAATGTCAGCAACTCTGTGAATTGGAGTTTCCTTTTTGTTGTGGAGACCCTTCGCAGATTTTATTGCCTTGGCTTCCGCAGACAGCAAATCGTCGTAACAACTGGCACGCTGGTCATCATCTTGTCTGTATCTAATAACTGTTGCATAGCCTTTGCTCACCATTGCTTCTCCAACATTACTGAGGAAAAAAATACAGTTATAAGGACTGTGAAAGAGTACAAAGATAAAATGAGGACAATCAACATGTGGAAAAATACTCCCGTGCAGATAAAAAAGGAAAACGTGCAGATATTTGAAAAACTACAAATTAAAGAATAATTCACATTTGTCATACTTACACATCTCCAATTCTGACAGTACAGCAGGTCTTTTCTGGGAAGTTATTCTGAGCTGGTTGGATGTAATCAACAGTACACTGAACTTTTTGTCCAATAAGCTTCTTGCGCAAGAACTCTCTTGCCTCAAATAACCAAGGAATATCGTAGAGAGGGCGGAAGTTCTTGCCTGGGGGCCTAGGGGTATCTGCATCTGGAAGTCTAAATAACAAAACACAAATATAAACAAACATTCGTTTACAGTTGAACAGAAGAAAAATCATCTACCTTACAAACAAGTGTGATAAAAATTAACATACAATGGACAACTATGAAGCTCAAGCAAGCTACCGAGGTCATCCCTTCCTAAACAACTTGCACGATTTAATACTGTATAACAAAAGCAACATTTATATACACAGCACAAATTATCCAGATAGTTTGGTTTTGTTAACGTATTTCAAGTATACACAAGGAAAAACTCCAGGAAACTCACCTCGGAGGCCTTACACTGGACAAGAAAATCTTTTTAGTTGTTCCATCCTGACGTTTAACAACCAGAGCATCACCATTTACAACTTCTACGACTTTGCCAGTGAATTCCTTGTCTTTGTCGGCTATCTATAAATAAAATAAATATAATACTTATAAATACATAATTTCAGTAATCTTAAGAAAAACTGAAAAATGAGAAAAATAGTTTATGAGGCATAAGAAATGCAAGATTTGCACCCGGTATGAATGACTAGTAGATAGGGCAAAGAGTACTTACCATCTTGCCATTGATATGTAAGCACTCATAATATGGTGATATGCAAGGTGCATGCATAAATACAAGAGGTGTACCAATACTGTACCGATCACCTTACCGATAGGCTCGAGGGCTTGTAATCCGTCCATAGACGAACCTGTTTTTCTTTTGCTTGTTTCTCGGCCGCTCTCAATTTTTCTGGTCCTCCAGTTACTGTTGCTATGGACCAATCAACACATCTTGCAAAGCCATCCCGCAACAATGCTTCTGCAATGTTCCCGTTCTGCAAGAAGTGAAAAGTAGAATTATACACAATTTGCAATGATAGGTCATAGGATTTAAGCATATTTTCCATATTTAGTGATTGTACCCAAGGCTCAGTTCCTTGAAGTCATCATGACATGTCATGTGCAGCAAGGATCCTGTGCAATGTGAAAATTGTGTACATTAGTTATATGCACAGGAGAGAAAGTAATACCCATATAGTTTTCCTGTTTTTTTCTAACCAACAGACAGATGAGTGTGGTATTCAGACACTATCTGACTGGAGGAGCATTATTGGCGTAGTACCACAGGGTTCAGTTCTTGTGCCATCAATGTTCGTCTACGTAAACAATATACAAGAAGGAATTCACTACTATATGATAATATTTGTGGATGATGCCAAGATACCGGGAAAGATAGGAAATGCCCTTCAAAGTGATAGAGATGAAATAAGTTTCTTGATCATCATTGTCCCATCATGTTATTCTTATGGTTATTAAGTATCATTAAACGTCAATTTACGTTAGTTGCAGCCAAAGGGTTAATGTGTGACAGAACCCGTTGTCATACAAATAATGTACCTCTACTCCTTCACCACCCACCTGCAATCCTAATCTATAGCAAGTGCAATAGATTGTCAACACCACCACAATCACAGGAAATAATTATTTTTTACATGACCGATTCTGTTTTTAAAGTTACACAATTAGATATTAAAAATGCTAACCGGATGAATGATGGAGCCAACAAAGTTGTTATTGTTGAAGGTTTCCAAAATAATCTGAACGTCTCGCTGGAGAAGCCTAGATTCTGTGAAGAAGCGAGCCTCATCGGCAAATGGCTCACTGCTGGATTTGTCAGGTTTGCCTTCAGCATCCAGTTTGTTCATTGGGCACTGAAAGGATAAAATACAGTAATCAAATATTTGTATGCACCCTCTCACTCCATCCCATCCCACCATGAAAAATATCTCCACGTACTTTGATCTCCAACTCGATCCATATTCACCCCCCTTTGGTAATCAAGGGAAGGGGAGGGGTGAGGCTCAATTTATGTATAATACAAGGACTGTTCTTCAGTTAATATTTCACTTAATATATGAACTCAAACTTAATATTTTACATTTACTCGACAAGTTTACAGCACAAGATTTATTCCTTTGACAAAGGGTTTGTGGCAAATTAGGATAATAAATGACATTAACGTTTAACTTAAACTACCACGAACTTACCCTAATACCAGAAATCATTAAGGTAATGTAGTGGTATTCTGGGAGGAGGAAACAGCGGACAGTGGAACCATCACGGACGTGCTCAATGATCGCGTCCATGGGTTTACCTTTTGCTTTGTCCACAAACGAACGCATGTTTTCACACACCCATTTCACATTGCGAACATGTTTCGCATCATTACCGGCCCATTTGCCCTGGGTGAATAAAGACTCATTAGAAAAACTGGTAAATTCACCAACAAAATTCCTAGGTGTTCACCAGACCACACACTAGAAGGTGAAGGGACGACGACGTTTTGGTCCGTCCTGGACCATTCTCAAGTTGATTATGGTCCACACACCTAGTGTGTGGTCTGGTCAATTCTTCAGCCTCGTTATTGTTACTCCTCATCTAGATGGTTAATGTTAAAAGACGAGGGAGCATCATAACGGTGCAAATCGTCTGGTTCAAGCCTAAAATGACGACTATCTTTAATCATTTGTTTAAATGCCAAAGCATTATCAAACTAGTTAACTATATATTTCAGCAATCACTAGAATGCAAGGCCTGCAGTTAATACAAATATTCAACATAATACGACATGTAGAAAACTACCTTACTAAATTACATACATCATTTATATACAGAAATGAAAGAGGCAACATTCCAGAGAAAATCATGTGTGATATGACCTAATGCCTTATACACACTACCTCATCTGTGAGAGATTGACCAACTTTCTACTGCTCTCCCCATACTGGCATTTCACAGGGAAAAAATATCTTTGGTAATAGCTAAAAATTTCTAGGAAGATTTATATAAACATTAAAACTTAAAATCCTGTCTCAATTAGTTTAAAGTCTTAGTTTTTAAAGTTTTTCCCACATCTTGCCTGAAATACTGCATATTAAATTAATGGCTTTAACCATAGTATACACAAGCTATCTAGAAATACAATGTTGCTTGTAACATTTTATGTATGTACCCCTCTACTTTTATCTGAATAAACATTAGTACAGTATCCTTATATTATGGTGAAGACACAGCACCTCTTCTAAAGCCAAGATGACGATTCCCAGTTTATCACATTTACGAGGCGGAAAGCAGCCAGGCCAGAGATAACTATCACCAACTCCCCCCCCCACAAACACACAGGCAAGCCGACAATTCCCCCACCCAACTCTCGCTCCCTCCCTTTCCCCTCTCTTCGCCGAGGTACTCACTTTGCCCTGGTTTCTAGCAGAATCTTCATATTCTAGGAGAGGTGACTCTCCTCTGATGCTTTCCCTTCTAACTGACACCAGGCCTTCTTGAACCATAAGTTCCGTCAAGTTCTCTCCCGTTGCTATATCTGTAAAGAAATAAATGACGCTTGGTAAGTTACACGTACAAAAACTTCCCTACCAAAATAATATACAGTATTAGGTGCTCCAAGAGATAAAGCATAACAGCAAGACAGGATGGTACATTTATCAATACTGTTAGACAAGAGGGGGGCACAAGTAGCAATTTGTTTACAACCACTGTTAGAAAAAATTCAGATATTTCTGAAGAATATTAAACAAGATTTGATTTGTAGAATATTGTGGATTTGTTCATTTCATATTAAACTTAACCGACACCAACCTTTAAAAGCCGACATAACTTACAATCAATATAAATTCCAACAAATCACAAATGTCTTAAAGTCTAGCCATTATCCACAACATTAAACACTTACCTTTTCCAAGATAAATAGCACCATACTCTCTTCCAGTAGGAGTCTTGGTTTCAACGGTAAAAAGAACCTCCTTGCCAATCACCTTCTTGCGCAAAAATTCTCTGCTCTCCCAGCCATACGGCTCGTCAACCGTCTCTGGGGCACTGGGTGGAAAATAAACAATCATTGGCATGACTAATTTTGCAACATTAAGAGCACAAAAGAATCTTTATTAAATACAAATAGTGGGAAGTAAAACTAGAAAACTAATCTAACATTTATAATAGAACCCCCCCCCATAGTCCCCTCATGAAAACTAAAAAAAAATCATCTAAAAATCAGCAGTTAAAGTTATTTATTCCAATTACATTATTATTTTCTAATAATGCAATGCATCCTTTAAGATTAAATTTGCCTGCATTTATAAAAGAATAACTTGCTCTAATGAAGTAAATTATTTAGAGTAAGGCTAATTAATAGGGCCTGTAACCACTGTACAATGCACATTAACAGCCAACATATTATGCTACAATTGTACTCGTTAACACTTTCGCGCTACATTGTACTGTACTACATATAATTTTACTACATTGTACCTATTAATATTCTTCAAATTTTGCTACAAATTACCTATTAAAATTATCTTTTTAGAGTAAGGTCCTGCCAGAAATGCTATACGTGTTAGTGGCTTTGCAAGAATATAACTTCTTGTATATAAACAATTAAATAAAAAATTAATATACAGGCTACATGTGATTACTTCATCAGGAAAGTAGTGAAACATTCATAACTCAGCACAATTAGGCAAGGACAAATCCATCATAACCAACGTTTGTCCACCAAATTAATAAAAAATTATGCAATTTTGCCCATAGCATACAAAAGAGCAATTAAACTGCCAAACAAATCGGTATCAATTATAAATGAGTGCGTATTTTCCGTGCTCAACTAGCAAGATATGCACTCAAAAGAGCCAGTCTATACAAAAATTCACTACAAACTCATTTCATTGTCTTGAAACATGCAATAAAAGTGACGACAAAATTCACACACATGATCATTAGCGAGCCCTATAATGTAAAAATAAAGAATAGTTCTCGCCCCGTGACGCAAGGTGCGAGGGAGTGAGACAAGGCGTGGTGGGAGTAAGGTGGCTGCGGGAGCCACCTCTTCCATGATAACACTATAGTGTTGTGTAACATTTTGTATCATATCAGTTTCTGCTCAATGGAAATGTAGTCAAATTATCTTGCCACCTTCAACAACATTATTGCTGCAGTAAGACAATATTGCAGATAATGTAAATATTTAACAATAACAGTGTACACCTCAAGCAAGCACCCACGCTCTCCAAGATGTAGAATGACCTCGGCTTGGGCATGTTTCCACACCGTTTTCATTACTTTAAGTGTAGTTCAAGTGTGATAATCCAGTCGTCTAATAATTTGTCGTCTTCGCGTTTTTTTATGGATTTTTCCAGTATGTATTAAACTTTAGCACTGCAATTCCCTGGACAAGATGTGCTGCCCAAGAACAATGATGACATGGGCAGCTGCACATGGCACAATAATTTTTGGCAGTTGTTTTCATTATATTAGATTTATTTGTCGATGCCAGAGGCAGCTAGTTTACTGTGCATTCCATACTCGTCCTGCGAGTGGTAGTGCAATATAGTGTCACAGAGGGCACAAAATGTTAATCAGACCTCGGAAAATTTTACGTTAGCAATTATATCTAACCTTCACACCTTACAGTTATGTCAGCTAGTTACAGAAATGTCTTCATTGCATGTCTTGTACTGTATTTAAAATAAATTCTTGTACACTGAAGGTAGGTCTTTTGCTAATATATTCTGTACATAAATTGTAGGCATGGGGCTCATAGGATCATACAGTGCAAGGATTTTGAGTATTTGGTCATTTATAATAAAATGGTTTGCCATTTCATGTCGTGCGAGCTTAGATTTATCTCTAAATGGGAAAAAAAATTTCAGTCTAAAATGTAATGTTCTAGCGTGCCCCCCCCCCCCCCCCCCCCCCCCCCGTCCTTGTCCACACATTTTTACACTGCTTCATTTAGTTTCCTATACAAGCCGGACACCCAGAGTCACCTGTACCAAAGTTGTATTCGAGCAATGACATCCATAAGTCTGCCGATTTTGTTACTCCCCCCCCTCCCCATACAGATAGTTTGAACGAGACAAGTTGGCAGTTGACCTGGATTCTTCGTAATGAACCGACTCGGCAATGGACTAGGCAAGCAATCCTCTCAGAAAAACTTGTTTGAGCCACTAAAAAATTATCCCTTAACACAAACTGTTAAGGAATTTGACAGCAAGGTTCATTCAAGTGAACTTAGTGTATCAATTTTACCATATCCAAATACTTTCACTCACTAAATGATTTTTTGGGACCAGAACACACACATCCACCACCCTTATGGAAGCCTAACCACCCCAACCACAGGAAATCAAACAAGCGCCCCCCCTATCGAAAAGCCTGGAGCAGTGTCACCTAAACCTATCATATCACTACAGCCCCTCGAGGTCAGTAATCTACTTGACGCCAAGACAGCCAATGTGATCGATAGTATACTAATTACTAAATATATGTACTCACTTTGTTGTTGCTCTTCGAGCTGTACGAGGCGCAACGACATTTGAGAAGTTGATTTGTCTCTCAGGGGGCGGTCCCCCCTTAGGCTGTCCACGGACAATGACAGCATCGCCAGATAGAACCTGCAAAATAAGTCATTATTTTTAGATAGATACAAGATATCAAAATATAAGAAGTATAATACACACACAAATATAATATATACTAGTCCTTATTTCTGGTTTCCAATAGTTGTGAAAACAAACAAACATTTCTCAGTGTTCAGAATGCACATGAACTTCATTTTAAGTTTACTTAAAATGTTTTACTTAACCAATGCTAATAAATGTTGAACTTTTATACAGTATATCAAAATCTTTTGACCTCCAGTATATAATTTGAAAATCCTATTTATGAACAAAAATTCTATACTCTCCCAGTCATAAGGTTCATTAGTCATCGCCAAAGCAATGTATGAAGAAAAAAAAAGTCACAGACGCAGGCAACGAGGAGGCCTGGTCGACGACCGGGCCTCAGGGACGCTAAGCCCTGGAACAACTCCCGAGGTAACCCCAAGGTATGGTAGTGTTGCTGATACAATACTACATACATTATGTTAGTGTATACAATAGAATCCTGTTACCTTGAGGTGCCAACCTCAATGTTGCTGAATTTATAATGTATTATTTGATGTATTCACAAGATCACACTTTAGTTCACTAGTGCAAAAAACCTCGTTCGTAAACAGTGATTATTGACCTTTTGAACACCAATCACGCTCACTGTATATACACACATGCGAACAAGCCTGAATGGTCCCCAGGACTACATGCAACTGAAAACTACACATATATACATATGAACACGTTGTATTGAACGGTGTGAGATTAGCTTTAGCTACCTCATCCCTTTGTGTATATTGACACCTTAATAGATTTCAATTTCAATCACATTCCACTGGACGCGACACAACGGCCCCCTCATCAACCAGTCATCACTACCCAACTCATCACTACACACAAGGGTCAATATTACCCCCATATTATAGGCAGCAGGGGGCCGACGGTGGCCCCCCTAGGCTGACGAAGCTACAGTATATAACTGCTGCCTATAACCCCCTAGGGTCCTCACCTCTCACAAACCACTACGAGGCCTCGAGGGGGAGAGAGTTTAGGGCATGGAGGACCAGCCAGAGGCCAGAGAGCACTAAAACGCCATCACACGTGTTTGGGAAGGTGGTGATAGGAGGCCATCTGGCTGGTACTCGGCCCTCTCACACACCCTCACTCTCCCTCTACCCGCCTCTCATTCCACCTATTTCACACGCCAGGCTGCCAACGAGGCAGGTTTTCATTGATGCCAACGGCAGCGGGGGCAAGGATATGCGAGCTAACCTGTTTAACAATGCCGCGGCAAACTTGCGGTGTCTGAGGAGCGGCCATGTTGTCACTTGTGCCTGACGGGACGACCAGTCACGTGACCACGCCGGCTGACAGCTGTGAGGCTCAACTACCCGTCCAACGCCCTCCGTCCTGTCTCTCTCACTCTCATCCCTTCACCCCTCACGGCCCTTTTATACCTATCCTTCACCTCTCCTCACGACCACCATATACCCATCTACTAATTAGCATCTCGTGGAGATTTCATATATTCCAAGTATGGTTTTTTTTTTTAGATGAGTTGGATAGTTGAGCTCAAAACAGATGAGTTTTCACTGTGATAATTCCTTGCGCATGATCTATATCATTCGACTTAAATTTGTGTAGCTTGGTCAATTTAGCTCTACAAACTTGACGGAATTATAGGCCTGGTTTGGGAAACAAGTGAGCGAGGGTGTTTAAAAGTGGGACATGAATGGTGATGTGGCAGCTTTGGTGAGAGCCAGCGCCACCTGGCTCCAACACGGCGCCTACCGCCAACTTTGGACGGGCGGCGACCAACGTGGAATACATATTTCCACATCATCCATCGCCATATGTCCGGACACTACCTCATTTTGTCCATATATCATCCTCAACCCCCCCAACCGCTACCAGATTTCCACTCTGTCTTGAAAGCATTCTCCATCAACATGTATAGGCCTATAGGGGTGCATGTATAGACCGTTGGTCACCTGTGAAAAAACGCATTTAGCCCTATATACATTAAAATAATGATTTATAATATATACAAAGGCATGTGTTACAGTGCTTCCTTATAGCAGGTACACTAACTGTATATTAATGAATTATATAAAGCCAGTGTTCAGGCATAACTTAAAATAATAGGTGAATTATTGGTAGTTTTAAATAGGTGATAATGATTAATGCTATGTATAGAGTAAGTTAACACACATGAGAAGTGTTAATGAAATTTAGAAAATGATTTACAGTTTTTGAAAATATAATATTAACGTGTCCCATATGAGAACATAAGAACAAATGTAACTGCAGAAGGCCTATTGGCCCATACGAGGCAGCTACTATCTATAACCACCCAATCCCACTCATATACATGTCTAACCTGCGCAACCCTGTTACCGAACCAGTATTTACCCAAGACTTTCCTAAATCTAAATTTATCCAATTTATACCCATTGGTTCGTGTTCTGTCTTGTGTTGATACTTTTAATACCCTATTAATATCCCCTTTGTTGTGTCCATTCATCCACTTGTAAGAACATAAGAACATAAGAACAAAGGTAACTGCAGAAGGCCTATTGGCCCATACGAGGCAGCTCCTATTCTATAACCACCCAATCCCACTCATATACTTGTCCAACCCGTGCTTGAAACAATCGAGGGACCCCACCTCCACAATGTTACGCGGCAATTGGTTCCACAAATCAACAACCCTGTTACTGAACCAGTATTTACCCAAGTCTTTCCTAAATCTAAACTTATCCAATTTATATCCATTGTTTCGTGTTCTGTCCTGTGTTGATACTTTTAATACCCTATTAATATCCCCCCGGTTATGTCCATTCATCCACTTGTAAACCTCTATCATGTCACCCCTAACTCTTCGCCTTTCCAGTGAATGCAACTTAAGCTTTGTTAATCTTTCTTCATATGAAAGATTTCTAATTTGGGGAATTAACTTAGTCATCCTACGCTGGACACGTTCAAGTGAATTTATATCCATTCTATAATATGGCGACCAAAACTGAACTGCATAATCTAAATGGGGCCTAACTAGAGCAAGATATAGCTTGAGAACCACACCAGGTGTCTTGTTACTAACGCTGCGATTAATAAATCCAAGTGTCCGATTTGCCTTATTACGAACATTTATGCATTGATCCTTTTGTTTTAAATTCTTACTAATCATAACTCCCAGATCCCTTTCGCAATCCGACTTCGCAATCACAACACCATCTAGCTCGTATCTTGTAACTCTATCATCATTACCTAACCTCAGAACTTTACATTTATCAGCATTAAACTGCATCTGCCAATCCTTTGACCATTTCAAAACCCTATCTAGATCAACTTGAAGTGATAGTGAGTCCTCCTCCGAATTAATTTCCCTACCGATTTTCGTATCATCGGCAAATTTGCAAATGTTGCTACTCAAACCTGAATCTAAATCATTTATATATATTATAAACAACAGAGGTCCCAGGACAGAGCCTTGAGGCACTCCACTTACAACATTTTCCCACTCTGACTTGATTCCATTTATACTAACTCTCTGTTTCCTTTGGTATAGCCATGCCCTGATCCAGCTTAATACAGCACCCCCAATACCATGAGACTCTATCTTTTTAATCAGTCTTTCATGTGGCACTGTATCAAAAGCTTTGCTAAAGTCAAGGTATACAACATCGCAATCCTTACCACTATCAACTGCCTCAACAATGCTAGAATAAAAAGATAACAAATTTGTTAAACATGAACGGCCATTTATAAAACCATGTTGCGACTCAATTATTAATTTATGTTTTTCAAGATGAAGACGAATTTTATTTGCTATTATAGATTCGAGTAACTTTCCCACAATAGACGTTAGGCTAATTGGTCGATAGTTAGACGCAAGTGATCTATCTCCTTTCTTAAAAACTGGTATCACATTAGCAACTTTCCAAAACTCTGGCACTCTGCCTGACTCTATTGATTTATTAAATATGGTTGACAGTGGGTCACAAAGCTCCTCTTTGCATTCTTTAAGCACCCTGGCAAACACTTCATCCGGCCCTGGGGATTTGTTTGGTTTGAGTTTTACTATTTGTTTAAGAACATCCTCCCTGGTAACTGTTAAACTCGTCAACCTGTCCTCGTCCCCACCCACATAGACTTGTTCGGCTGAAGGCATATTGTTAAGTTCCTCTTTAGTAAATACAGATACAAAATATTTATTAAAAATACTACTCATCTCTTCATCACTATCTGTTATTTGACCTGTCTCAGTTTTTAATGGACCTATCCTTTCCCTAGTCTTAGTACGATATAACTGAAAAAACCCTTTAGGATTTGTCTTTGCTTGCCCTGCTATGCGAACTTCATAGTTTCTTTTTGCTTTCCTTATCTCTTTTTTAACATTTCTAACCAGTTGTACGAATTCCTGTTCTAAAGTGACCTCCCCATTTTTAATCCTTTTGTACCAAGCTCTCTTTTTACCTATAAGGTTCTTCAAATTCTTTGTTATCCACTTTGGGTCATTAGTATTCGATCTATTCAATTTGTATGGTATACTACGTTCCTAAACGTTGTAAACCTCTATCATGTCAAACCTCTATCAAGAAGACTCACTATCACTTCAAGTTGACCTAGATAGGGTTTTGAAATGGTCAAAGGATTGGCAGATGCAGTTTAATGCTGTTAAAGGTATCTTTGGATACTCTTGAAAATAACATAATATGACCTACACTTGGCCTTTATCTTATTATACTCACGTATCTCTCCATATCTCATCTACGGTATCTATACATTGGGCTTAATCACCAGTAACTGCCTCCAACCCATCATATCTAACTTATGGTATCTATACATGGGACTCAATCCACACTAACTACCTTAAGAACATAAGAACAAAGGTAACTGCAGAAGGCCTATTGGCCCATATGAGGCAGCTCCTATTTATAACCACCCAATCCCACTCATATACATGTCCAACCCGCGCTTGAAACAATCGAGGGACCCCACCTCCACCACGTTACGCGGTAATTGGTTCCACAAATCAACAACCCTGTTACCGAACCAGTATTTACCCAAGTCTTTCCTAAATCTAAACTTATCTAATTTATATCCATTATTTCGTGTTCTGTCCTGTGTTGATACTTTTAATACCCTATTAATATCCCCCTTGTTATGTCCATTCACCCACTTGTAAACCTCTATCATGTCGCCCCTAACTCTTCGCCTTTCCAGTGAATGCAACTTAAGCTTTGTTAATCTTTCTTCATATGAAAGACTTCTAATTTGGGGAATTAACTTAGTCATCCTACGCTGGACACGTTCAAGTGAATTTATATCCATTCTATAATATGGCGACCAAAACTGAACTGCATAATCTAAATGGGGCCTAACTAGAGCAAGATATAGCTTAAGAACCACACCAGGTGTCTTGTTACTAACGCTGCGATTAATAAATCCCAGTGTCCTATTTGACTTATTACGAACATTCATGCATTGATCCTTTTGTTTTAAATTCTTACTAATCATAACTCTCAGATCCCTTTCGTAATCCGACTTCGCAATCTCAACACCATCTAGCTCGTATCTTGTAACTCTATCATCATTATCAAGCCTCAGAACTTTACATTCTGATTAGGATATATTTGTATCCTAATCTTAATCTCATGTAAATTGAATCCTTCCAAGTAGACTTTCCTTTACCATAAGTGAAGGACGAATTTGTATTTATTATTGAAAAATTCTTAAGTGTGTTACTACTGTCCACCATTGCCATTCTCTTTATCATTTCTTCACCCTCTTGGATCATCCAGTTTTTAAGAAAGGAAAGAAAGGAGATAGATCACTTGCGTCTAACTATCGACCAATTAGCCTAACGTCTATTGTGGGAAAGTTACTCGAATCTATAATAGCAAATAAAATTCGTCTTCATCTTGAAAAACATAAATTAATAGTGATCAGGGAAAACGATCAGGGAAAGAGAAGGTCCGCAAAATAACAATTCACTTAGGGTATATTACACTAACAGTAGAAGTCTAAGAAATAAAAATAACGAATTAAATGCTCTTGTCTGCACAGAAAAAATAGATATTATTGCACTTACCGAAACGTGGATGAATGTAGAAAATAGAGAACTATTAGCTGAATATCAAATATATGGATTTAAACTATTTCACACAGATAGATATATTAGACGAGGAGGTGGAGTAGCCATATATGTTAGGGACAATTTGAAATGTAGTCTCAAAGAGGGAATCAAAACAGAGCCACACACAGAAACTATTTGGATTGAATTAAACGAAAAAGCTAATAATATTATAATAGGAGTAATATATAGGCCACCAAATTTAGACAGAATGGAAGCAAAGCATCTATGGGATGAAATATCTAGAGCATCTAGATCTAACAGTATTTATGTCATGGGTGACTTTAATT